TTTTGACCTTTTCCTTCTTTCTTGTCTTCCTAATGACTTTTTGCTCTCTTCATGTATGATGTTCTTGATGTCATCCCACAATTCTTCTGGTCTTCTGTCTTTAGTGTTTAATGCATCAAATCTGTTCTTCAGATGATCTCTAAATTCAGGTGGGATAAATTCAAGGTCATATTTTGGCTCTCTTCCACTTGTTTTCAATAGTATTTGTAATAGTAGCCTTTAAAACTGTGACGTATTATGATTATGTTCTTATAAGGCACCCAATCTGTGCTCCTTTGTGACAACAGTCTTACCTAGGAAACTAACAGAGATTCTACCACATACTTTTTCATTCAAGTCACTTCTCTCTTGTGTCTGTATTGTTTGCTGATATTTACTATAGTGTTTTCTATCAGGTCCCAGTTACTTGTACACATATCCACTTACCTAGCTAGAGAGCAAACGAATTGAAGGTAAGCATTCTGATTCATAGAAGGTATAAAAATTAATTAAACCAGAAAGCTCAAATGATCACACCACTTTCTTTGTCAAATGAGATCATAAGAGAATCAGGAGGGGGAGCCCCCCATTCTTGCCATTGTCGGACCTGTTATGCCACTTCGCCCTTAACTAAGGAGTCCTGGTGTGGTATTGTAGGATCAGCACTGGATGCTAACCACAAGGTCGGCAGTTCAAACCCACCAACCACTCCTGGCAACCCATACAAGGTCCCTGTGAGTCGGAAACAACTCCACAGCACATAACAACAACAACAACCCTTAACTATCACACATTGAAGGGATGAAATTTGAAACTCATCTTCAAATTTAAAGCACAGTATTCCTTACTGAGAGGGAATCCTATACAGGGTCGCTATGGGTTGGAACCCAACAACATCCTGACTGAGAAGGAGCCCTGATGGTACTGTGGGTGAGGCACTGGGCTGCTCATCACAAGCTGGGTGGTTCAAACTCACCAGCCACTTTGTGAGAGATAGATAAGATTGTCTGCTCCACAAAGATTCACTGTCTCAGAAACCCTAAACAGGGCCACTACAAGTCAGAATCAACTCGACAGCAGTGGCTTTGGTTTGCTTTGAATCCTTACTAATAGGGCTAAAAGTAGTTTGGGTAATGCAATGATCACAGGTGCAAAATTAAGGTACCATACTAGCGGTCCTCAACTCCATTAGGGCTCAAAATTGGAGAAACTGAGACCACCAGAAACTACATTGGAAAACTGAAAGACTACAAGAAGAAACCAAGAACGGCAATGACGTGGCACGTATTAAAAACTCTGTTGATGTTGTTAGATGCTGTCAAATCAGTTCCAATTCACAGTGACCCTATATACAACAGAACATAAACCCCGCCAGGTCCTGTGTTGTTGGTACTCTTGAGTCCATTGCTACGGCTACTGTGTCAATCCATCTCATTGCAAACTCTAGGCAACATTAATTAATGTCGAGGAAGCAAAAACAAGATGTGCAGACTGACGAAGAAAAGAGTTTAATAAGAGTCTTGATCCTTTTTGGTAATGTGGGACTTAAAAAAAAAGAAGAAGAAGAAAACATGGAAATGGTTTTCAGCACAGCTTATGTGACCGAGGCTGTCACAGTGTCTGGACTGGTTAGTGTCTGCATCAGCTTATAAATGGGGGTGCTTTTTCTTACCTCCAGATGCTCTAAAATATAGGGCGGATTTGTCATGCCCAGCCTCAGCATCGCTCCTTCAGGAATCACTTCAACGAGTTTCCACAGGAGTGTGGGAAGATCGGTGCCAATATCTCTGCCATAAGCCCCCGTGTCTTCACTGGTCAACCATAGCTCACAAACACCCTCTGTGAACCAAAGGAGATAATTAACAAATCTGTTGCAGAGCTGTTTCCTTCATCATACAGCTGCTCACTCTCTTCAATGCGGTATTTCTCAACACTATTATGCAGGCAATCTGGGCATTCAATTGCAGAGAAAAAGCCAGCCGTTTATCCCGTGGTGGCAGTGGGTTATTAAGTTCATTTCATAAAACACCAGAGAGTTACAACAATGCTGGAAATGATCAGTGTGTCCTATGGAGTGATTAACATTCACAGCCAATCAGTTCAACCGTGCTTCTTCCAAAGCACCTTGATCAAAACTAAAGCTTCAGTCTCACCTCTGAGAATACCTATTTTATTGAACACCATAAGCCCTGGAACCGAAACAGCCTCTCCATGGAATAGCTACTATCAGCAGTTAACTCTCTAATCAGTCTGTCACCAATTCAAGGAAGAATGTCAAGTGTAGTTAAGGTTTAACTCACAAATTATTAATTACAAGTTACTAATTTTTTCTGTAGTTTTTTATTCTATGAAGAATGGTGTACATTGTTCTGCTGGGTTCAGAAAAGTTGGTTGCTGTGTTAACTAAATGTTTGTGTTGGAAAATCTGTTTACTGACAGCTTGCCTCCTATCTTCCATCAATCAGACTTCAGGAAAATGTATATTTGGCTTTGAGTTAGTATTGTTATTGCTGTTATGAAAAGGCCTGACTTCAAATATTACAGTCTGTAATAACATTCTTTCAAAAATACTTCTGGATCACCTAATGTTATTTAAAATGAGTTCCAGAATTCGCAAGAGCCACCCAAGGTTTCATGGCACATAAAACCTTTCTGAACCCATCCTCAATGAAAAGATTAGCCTATTTTAAGAGGCCAAGTGATTCACAAGGCTAAGACAAACAATAAACCGAGCCTGTGAAATTTGTTCATGCTAAGTGATTTGTTGCTTCACAACTCAAAAGACTCAACATGCATACACACAAGCACACACACTCGGCTACACTTGCAGACTACAGCCTGCATCAAGAGTACATTTCTAGAAAGAGGGTAAAAATGATCATTTTAAAGTAGATTTAATGGACTCAAGAGAGAAGACTCCTAGCTGAGAGAAAAAACAAATAAAACACATGCCTTTATTTGAATGTGGAATTAAAACTTATAGTATCAAAAAATAAATATGTACACCTTATTTGACAAATCCATACAGCTAAGATACCCGTTCATGATTCTTTCCTTTAAGATAAAAGATGGCTAAACTGAATATTTACTTTACCGAAAAAAAAAACAAAAAACAACTAATTCACACAAAAACATTTTCATTCTTTCCTGCTTGCCTATCTTTCAGAGGTATATACACCCTTACCACATAACATAGAAAATATCAAGCTAGAAATAAAATGTAAATTTCCCAAAATTAAACAAGCATTCTAACCTAGCATGGAGAACAGAAGATGTAACAAAGCAGCGCCTATTTGAAAAGTTGAAGATGTGCTTAATATTTAAAAATCAGTACTGTAATGAACGTGTGAGTTGTTTTCTTAGTTTATATGAAAAACCTAGTTCCAGAACTCAAAAAACTTGGTTTAGTTTTAACTTAATAAAAAGTTTTTTCTTCCAAAGAAATTTCCTGGTATTTCTACAGGCTGTTATTGCATTCTTATAGTTCCATAAATATTCTCTGTACATGGAATCATTTTATTTACCGAAAGAGGGTCTGCAGTTAGTATCATCTTTATTTTAATATTACATATGCCACTGAACACTTCACTCATGCACGCTTTTTCTAAAAAACCTTATCACAAAATCCACTTGCAGGAAAAGAGATGGCTAAGTAACAACATAAACGGATTTTTAAAATGCTCTGAAAGAGGTTATAAAAACAGGACATTATCCATGATTTTCCAGTTACTGGCATATGAGCAACACAATATGAATATTTTAAAACTAACAGAATAATTTTAATTTATAATTTTTCCATCCAAATGGTTCCATGTGACGCCTTCTGTAGAGAGAGAGCGGTTCCTGGACCAGTGCCTTGCTGTTGCTACATGAATATAGAAGGGGGGAAATCACGATGAATAGGAATGGAAATAACAGCCACACAGAAAACAGCAGCCAACTCTTAAAGCTGCATAGGTGGAGACCAATAGCCCCCTGGTGGGCTGAGCTTCAAATTAAATCCCATGGAAAGGAAGCAGATGTAACAGTAATTCGGCAACAACAGGAATAACAGCGTTGATGGTCCCCAAATTAAGGCTACTAAAATACTCCATAGAGCAGCAAACCAGTTTAAAACACAATGAAGTGCAAGAACATAGGCAAGATGTGAAAGCCCCAGCCTTTAGGAGAATTCTACCATGTCAATTCAAACTGATTTTAAAAAGATCGTCTTCTTAAGAACGTTCAGATTGAGAAAGGCAGAGCTTCAAGCACTCATTCTAATGAGAGTCGATCCCCACCAAATAAGATAGAGAAAGTCACTTTAAAGGTGAAACTAAGTGTGGACTCCCCATGCATTCCTGGCCCTGGAGAGTCTTGTGCAAGTCCTTCAGGTCAGGTCAGGCTCACATACAAATACACCAGGGGACCTGTGGGTTGCAGTCTATAACTGCCAATGGATAAAGGGACACATGGAGACTCACATCTGCATACTTACTTGGCTATTCTTATGGATAGCGTGCTTGCCTAAATCGCTTCATTCCTTAAGGATTTCAGTTATGAGCAATAATCCTTTGCACGTTCAGATCTTAACTCATCCACCAGATATGTATTAGGTCCTTACCTACCTATGTGCCATAAAGCTCTTCCAGCTGATGACAGATAGGGGTTCATCATTAAACTTCTGTGACCTAAGATTGGCTATCAGCTGGAATCTAACATGGGGACATGTCCTATACATTCCTATTGAGAGAGGAGGTATGTTGGAGCTTTAGAAATCAAAAATGAAGGGCCAGCACTTTGATTAGTACCTGTCAGAAAAATGTTTTGTTGTTGTTGTATGAAAAAGAGAAGCAAGCTGGATATCCACTAAAAACATCCATGTCTGTAAAAATGCATGCACACACACAAAAAAAAGAGTAGCAAGACAGGACAGAAGGAGACAAAAATGAGCATTTTTATGTAGCTAATGAGAAATATTGGATCCTGGTGTGGCGTTGCTGGTTAATGCACTGGACTGCAAAGTCTGCTTGAACTGCAAGGCCGGCTGTTCAAGCTCACCAGCTGCTCTTCAGAAACCCTATACACGGTCGCTATAGGTAGGAACTCAATTCTACGGCACTTAGCAACAACAACAACAATGAGAAATATTGCTTTTGCATAAAATTGCTCATCTACCTGACTTTTGTTCCTTTTCCTAACATTGTTGGGCCTACCTGATTTTTATAATGAACGTTAGGTTCCTGAGCTCATCCATCATCTTTTCTGAACTGTTGGTTTTGGTGAAAGGGAAAACAAGTACTAAGAAGAAACGAAATGCACCATACAAGATAAAGATTTTTTTAAAGTTTAGTTATTAGAATCCATTATATCATTTTGCCCAAGTAATGACAGATTAGCCTGTAGTTGAAACACATAGCAATTTTTCCCCCTGAACAGTGAGCCAGTGAGCAGCTTCAACAGCTGGATTCTGATCTCTGTTCTCCAGCAATCTGACATGACAGAGGATGGAAAAAGAACAAGACATAAAAGGTTAATAACGAAAGAAAGATAACATCACCAATACAATAGTCTCACCACAAAGAAAAACCTTTTTTTTTTTTTCTTTCTAAAAAAACCAAACTTTGCCAAGACTCCAGTTCAAAGGATGATGACTCACTGCTACTTTTCCTGTGTCTGAGCTTCATTGTAATACACTAAAATCTGGGTGAAGGTTGGCTTCACATGGTTAGAGCAATGTTATTTTTCTAGTAGCACGAGCTTTATCATTGGGAAAAATCTCCACCGTCATCGGTTGTTTCAACTATTCCATTATGAGCAGAGCTTCTAAAAACAAAGATTAAAAAATACAAAAACTGTAAACAATGATTAATGGGATCAGCAGATAAAGGGCATCAGATAGGAGGCCTCCAGAGTCCCTAGGTGGTACAAATGGTTAAAGTGCTTAGTTGCTAACTGAAAGGTTGGACGTTAATGCACTCAGATGCTATGCAATAGGTTAGAGGAGCCCAGGAAGCAAGGCCTGCTGGTCTACTTCTAAAAAAATAAGCCATTCAAAACCCCATGGAGCACAATTCCAGTCTGCCCATATGGGGTCACTGTGAATCAGTGCCCTCTTCCTTTAAAAAAAAACACACTTTTTATTGTAAATTGAGTGAAGGTTTAAAGAACAGATAACAATTTCACATTCAACAAACCATACACTTTGATTCAATACAATGGTTGCAATCCCTTCCATGTACCACCAGTTAACAGCATTTACCTGTATTCACTTTATTTCTTTAATTTTTTAAAATAAAACATTTTAAAGCTTTTATTGTGAATGGAGTGATAGTCTACATGGCAGAACATCAGTTTTGTACTCAACCTACTGCATCTTGTTTCGTTGTAATGATTATACAATTCCTTTTTGCGATGTACACAAAACCACACAGGAGTACATAATCATTTAAACAACCAAAGGACACATTTTGCAAACCAGCCCTCTGCCCGTCAGCACACAGCTTTTCTCTTTCCATGAGTCTAGAGCCCGCAGATGCTGCTCTCTATCTCTCTATGCCATCATCTATGCCGAATCCAAGCCCTCTTGAAAGCAACGGGTGAGATTAGGTTGTTGTTGGTGGTAGCATGCCATGGAATCAGTTCCCACCCACAGTGACCCTGAATAGGATTTCTGAGGCTATAAAGTTTTATAGGAGCAGAAAGCCTCACCTTTCTCCTTGAAGACTAAGGAACACCTGTGAAATGGCTTCACTCAATTTACAATGGCTGAAAAACCTTCACTCAATTTACAATGGCTGAAATTTTCATACTGCTGTCCTTGAGGTTAGCAGCTCGACTCATAACTGCTGAGGGTAGCA